CTGTAGGTCCCCCACTGCTCTCTCCGAGGCTCCACGCTGAAGGGCTCGATCGAGCCGTGCCGGCCGTCGGCGGTGTGCCAGCGGTTGTCGCGGTCGTTGACGTGCACGCCGCGCTCGCCCAAGTGGGCGCGGATCGAGTCGCCCTCCTCGAACTGGCGCGCCTGGGGCCGTGTCTCGGACATGTCATGGACGTGTCCCGGACGCGCGGTGTGCGCTCCACGAACCGGCGCGCCTCGCGCAGCTCCCGCCGCCGATCGAGCAGCTGGCGGAGGAGGGAGAGGTCGATGGAGCTCGACGTGCCCGCGGCCAGCGCCCAGCCGGGCGGGCTCCGCTGCCGGATCGCCGCCCGCCCCTCGCCCACCCTCGCGTCCGCAGCGCGCCACGCAGCCTTGTCGTGCGCCTCTGCCTCGCGCAGCGTCTCAAACATCTCGGCCACCTGGTCGCCGTGGCCGAGCGGGCAGCCGGACGTGTAGGAGCACGGCCACGTCGGCGCCGCCTGCTCGCTCCGGAAGCGGCGCGGCCGCTGGCTCGACGGCAGAGGGAAGCCGAGCAGCGTCGCGCCCAGCTTGCGGTACGCGGCCGCCCGCGTCGACAGCTTGTGCTTCTGCGCGAGCGTGCACGCGAGCGAGTCGCGGAGCAGGTACCGGACGAGCTTGGATCCGCCAAACTCCTCGAGCGTGCGCGAGTAGTACCCGACCACGTCGGCCGGCTCCAGGTTCATCAGCCGCGAGACGGCGCGGCCGTAGCCGATCGGGCCTTCCGCGCCGGGCGGCCGGTAGGCGGTGAAGCCGCCGCAGCGCAGGCAGCAGAGCGCCTTGTGGACGAGCGGGCCGACCCGGTGGAGCGGAGGCTCGCCGGCCATGGAGAAAAAGATTTCCGAAAATCAAGCCTCGGTGGGGGCCGGCGATTCCCATGCCGGCTCTCCGCCACAACCCCCGCCGGGAGGGAATCCCTGCTCACAGAAAAGGGCTCCGAGCCCTGTCTCGCGCACGCCCCTGGCGGGCGCCGCGGACCAGTTCCGCGAGCGCTCGTCAGCGGGTGGTGTGCGGTTCTTGCCGTAGTTCCTCTTCGGTCGCCTAGCCCCGGCGCCGTCTGTCGGACGCCTGCGTGTCACGAGTGCGAGCCGCTCGCGGTTCGTACACCCGCTTGCGGGTTCGAGTGGCGGGCCATCCCGCTTGCGGGATGGCTTAGCGGGTTCGAGCCGTCACACATTGGCTGCCGGGGTGTGCCGAGGGGGGGCTGGGTGGGCGGTAGGCCGTCATTGCCCGGCGCTGCTTGCAGCGCTCTGGGTGGTAGTGGCGGCGCTCCAAGAGTGGTGCTCTTGGGAAGAGGTTCCTCCTTTCCGCTCCCCCCCCGCAAGGCGCGAGACACACACACTCTCTAACAGCACACTGGAAGGAGGACGGGGAAGATGACTCCGAGGAGTCAGCCACAGAACGCGAGAGGCTAGTCTTGCAGGGAAGGCGCAGCGTGCGTGCGTTGCAGCGGTGCGCGTGCATACCCCCTCCCTGAGCCACTGCAAATTAACGCACACCTGCTTGTCAGCAAGCGGCGGCGGAGGAGAGAGCTTGAGCACGAGCTTGTCACCGGCGGCCGGCACGAACTCGAGTTTGAGCATGTTGATCGAATGAATTCCTGCAGAGAGTCAAGAAGCGGTTGAGGGTGGTGTCCCCGATGGGAGGTGCAGGCCAGCGCTCTCGAGTGGCCCTCGCGGCTACGGACACAGAGTGGCAGTCTCTAGACGCAGCAGAGATGCGAGCAGGGCGGGAACTTGACTCGGCAGGGTCAATCTCAGGTCAATCTCGGCTCGTAGCAGGAAAGGCAAGCGCCTACGGGATCGCGACCATGTGAAAGAGGGTGAAAAACTGGTATTAAGATGTCTGGGGGGTATATGGGGTATATGGGGGTACATGGGGGTACATGGGGGTACATGGGGGTATATGGCTATGATAAAATCTCGGGGAATCTCCCCACGAAACGATCAGTCGCGCGATCTCGAGCCCGCCCGCCCGCCACCCACCCACCCAGCCCCGCAGCCCACCCCCCCCCCCCCCCCCACCCCACCCCACCCTGCGCACCTCCTCTCCCCCGCCTGCGCGCCTCCGCCACCACCCCCTCCCTCGCTTCCGCCGCATCTACCCCTTCCCCCTCCACCCGCCGGCGCGCCTCGCTCGGCCGGCAGGTGCCGCATATCTCCCCACATCTCCCCACATCTCCCCACATCTCCCCACATCTCCCCACATCTCCCCACATCTCCCCGTGACGTCGCTCGGCGGGCAGGTGCTGCTGCTGCCAAGCGCCGCCGGGCCCTTCCTCCGAGCGCTGCTGCGTGCGGTCTTGCTGCTGCTGCTGCTAGTCGAGTGCATGCTGAATGGGAAGATAGAGCGGGCCGGAGAGAGGAGAGCCGCGCCTACGGGCATCACGTTGCGGCGCGTGAGCGTCGAGACGAGGCCGCCGGCACGCTCTCTCGCGTCCTCGGCGCTCGGACTGGAGCCGGGCGGCGATTGGCGAGCAAGCGAGAGCGGGTCGCTCTCTTGCCAGAAGAGAGGGAGGGCGGTCGCGCGGGACAAGGGTGGGGAATGGGCAGCAGCGGACGCGTCTCGCGGCTTCCTCGATGGCAGCGGCTGTACCTGCGAGCGGGAGTGGGC